CAGAGTCTCCAGCAAAAGCTGGCATGCACAGAAAGGAAACATTAGAAATGTACTTGCTTCTAATCCCAGTGCTGCAGGTAAAGGGAAAAGAAACAGATAATCTAATTTTCAGGATGCATTTAATGATTTAATTCTTTAATGATTAAGCCTAGGTAGTGAGGGTAGGTTTACCCTTTATATTGTATTTATTTAAACAAAACCTGTTAATAAGTTGCAGACATATGACTTTTTGGAAGTTAGGAAAGGAAAGGAAGAACACACAACAGACAAGGGGTGACCCTTTATCATCTGCTCCTCTCAGAAGGGACATATTTTGGCCATGTCACAACAGTCTCCTTCCTCAAAACTTGTGGCTAGCAAGGCGAGCCCTTCTGCTGACTCTACCTAAGTGTCTGGGTTCCCCATGTTAGCAGTAGCAGGCAGATGGATTTAGATGTAAAAGCAGTCACCCCACACACTGGTTTTGCTGCTGATCATCTTGTTCCCCAGCAATAGCAAGGCTCAGCAGCAAACACAGAAAAAAACCCGTTCATTAAGGTTCAGGCAAAAGCTTTGTTCTAACAACAAAGGTTGGGAGTGTGGTTTACATGCCCAAGAAATCATAAACCATGGTTGAACAAGATACTTGCGAGGCAGTCGTCACCCCTTCCCTGTTGTTTAATTGCATGCCAGCTGCAGGCTTGTGGAGCTACACCGGTCTTGGGCTAGCCCTTACCTGGCTAGTAGTTGTTGGGGAGTAACCCCATCACAGGCCCATGGTACAGGCTGGTTTTCTTCCTTTTTCTACCTGCCTTTATTGGGTGTTGTCTAAGGCACTGTATTTTATACTGTTGTCTCAGGTGCTCTGAGAAGCTTTTAAGCTCTACAGTGGGCTGAATATTATAAAAATTTATACATGGGCCAGTCGTAACACATTCACTCTTAGCTTTAGAAGTGGACACAGTAACAGAAGAGATAATAGAAATCCTAGAGCAAAATATTTTAGTAGACATACGTTTCATGTTCAAGTCATCCTTCACCCCAGGTTCTTTCCGTGTGGAGGTTCGTGGGTCACACAGAGTCCATCTTCTGCCCTGAACTTGTTTGGGAGATCGGACGAAGGGTGGTTACTTGTCATCGCAACTGATTTGGTTGCCACCCTAGTTTATTATCAAGGATTAAGTAAAACGTGATTTGGTTGCACAGAGGAGCTGAGTTCAGCGGCTGAACCTGTACTTCTGCGGTTCATGCTATGCACTAGCTGCTACTCTGGGTGTCCTGGGGACAACGGGCAAAGAATAAAGCCATGGTGCGTCTCTGGAGTACACATCTTGTGACAGAGCAGGTCTTGCAGAGCATTGCCTCTGTTGGGCTATTCAACATACAGATCAGTGAGTCCCAGCATTGTGTGCCCTAACCAGATATTGGCTTGTGCCTCTTGGACCTGTAACTTTTCAACAGCAGGAGAATATTTCAATATTTTGTATACATATGTATGCCCTTTTTATTTTTTTGAATAGCTCTGAATTTTTTGAGGTTGCCTTTTCTCCTCCTGTGCTTTGACGCCTGCCCTTGTCTCTCCAGCAGCTTGCAGCCCAGCCACATTCCCTTTCGTATCCTTTGCTACAGCATGCTGCTTTTCTGGGCTTGATACACAAGCGAAGCCAAGAGCAAATCCTTACCGGAGAAAGGCAGATGTGCACGTGTCCGGAGGGCAGCGAGCATGGGGACTGCTGCAGCGCACCCTTCGCACCGACATCGACCTGCCCTTGCTCAGGCTGACACGGAAGCTCGTGTTCATACCAGAAAGAGAGCTGGAGAAAAGGCTTTCATTAAAAATGGCTCCTGCCCTTTCAGCCCCTCTGCCCTTTTTTTGTCCCGCTTTATCAGTTATTACCAGTTAATGTTTCATTTTCTGTTGTTGTTTAACCGAAGCTAAGCAGCACCTTGTAGACTGCAACTGTCAATTAGTTATGATGAAAGCAGAAATTTAGCTTCCATCTTGCCTGCGTTTAGAGGGTTATAGCTGGATGTTAATTCAATTGCTTTCTTATCTTCTGAACTAATCTTGTTGCCTGCATCTGTGCCTGCCAGGAGCTTGGGGGGTGAGCAGGTCCTGACTTCCCTGTCCCTCTCTCTCTCCCTCCCTCCCTCTTAGAAGGACCTGCAGCTGGGTGGAAGAAACAGTGTATGTGATGGATGGGGGAGAACTAGCTACAGCGGTGGAAATATAGGGAGGAAAAGAGACCGGTGTGGAGTGAAAAGGGTGAAAAAGAGAAAAAAATATCATGGAATAAAAAAGGAAGAAAGGAGAGAAGATACTGGTAGGGAGGAGCAGATTAATTGAGAATGGGAATAATTATAATGAAAAGCTTTCTGCAAATATATATGTGTTTCCATAAGCCTGTAATTCATTAGCATCAATGGGAAATGTTTGAGAATAGCCCACCTAACTTCAGACGCCTGTATCTGACTAGGCTCCCCTGATGATCAATAGGTACTTCGAAGGGAAGACCCAATTCAGCCTCCTGCTTTAGGATAGGAATTCTGTCCCGGAAGTGCCTCTTTGTCCAGCAACTCAAGGGAAGTGCCCACACTGTCAACATCCACATTTGGTCGGATGAACCCCCTGCCCTTCCTGATTTTGCTATCTTTACATTACATAGAGTCCAGCTGCTGCTTGATGAGGAAAAGACCGTGGATATGTACCCTGCGCCCACCCTTGCTGGGTTACCTAACCCTTAGTGTTATCCCTTAGAAAAAGGCAGAAGCACTCGGGTGCAGCAGAAAAGTTATCTTACAGAAGACAGCAAAGGATTCCCTCGGCAGCTGCCGTCTGAAAAGTAAATGTTAGAAGCAGGAAGGAAGAGAAAAAATGCAGGGCTGTGGTTTCTGTGCAGTGGTGCTATCCTGCTCTTCCCTTCCCCCAGCCTTTCTCTTTGTTTCCAGATTTGCCATTTGAAACTAGGTCATAGCTCTTAGCCATACGTGTTTTAAAAGTACTAGTCACTCGGTGAGCATGACATAGCACCTCAGGGGTGTTGTGGTGGGGTTTTAGGGTTTTTTTTAACATAATGTAGAAAATCTGTTTTATTGGATTAGACGGTGTTTTAGCTGTTTCTTGGAGATGGCACCGCAAATGGTTCCTGTGTTGCTGGGGTAGGCAGCACCTGGGCTTATCTGGATGCAGTGGACTGTCCTTATTTTCTTGCTGGAGTTGGGTGCCACGTCACAGCAGGGTGACACAGTGACTCCTTTGCAAGCACAGCTTCCGAGAAACCACCCTTAACATCCTGTGGTGAGGTGGGGAAGTACGGCATCTGGGCAGGCTGCCCACAAAGCTTGTCCGTCAAAGCCTGTCAAGACAAGCACATCCGGAGAGTGTGTGCGCTTCTGCCTCTGGAGGAAACCCCAGACACCCTCTGTGCCCTCTCCTTGCTGGTATCGTTTATGGGCTGTGATGTAAAGCGGAGGAAATGGGGAGCGTGAATACAAATCTCACCCCGAAAAGCGTCACTTGCTGGTTTCCTTACGTACAATTTGTGCTTATCATTCTTGTGTAAAAGTTAGTAGGGCACAGCTGGTTAAACAAACCCTGCCCAAATATAATTTCCATGCTTACAACATGGAATATTTAACCTTTCATTACTCCATCCCACCCAAACCAAAAGCCTGTTTTTTGCATTCAGTTTTGCTTTCTTTTTTTCAGACAAAAGCAAAAAAAAAAAATTAAACCCATGATAAACTTACTTCAGAAACAGCTGAACATAATCTCCAAGCTGAATTTATATCACTTATTTCAGAATGTACTAGCTGCATATTGTACTTCATCTTCATGTATGTGAAAACAAGAAATGGCACATTGTGTATAAAACCAGGAAAATACATTATTCATGTAATGAATGTTGTATTTTCGTATGTTATGGCAAAAAAAAAAAAAGTGGGCTGCCTACTAGTAATTGCATATCATATTTTAAAGTAATGATACAGATTTTTAAATGCCTGTTTGCAACTTTGGCCTGCCTGTCTCCTGTTCTAGCCAGCAAAAACATGCTCCTTGGGGGAAGAGACCCTGAATTCTCACATCCCTGCTTTTTCAATCAGATGCTTTAAGAAAGTTTCTTTCAAATTTCTCTCAAATTCTGCAGGTTTTGGAGGTCAAACCTTTACCTCGTATTCTGCACATCAAAGCTAAATCATGCTAGGTCTGAAGTAATACACTTGCTACAAATCTTAGAGGCAAATCCTATGTTCAAGTAACAGCTTTATCAGACTTTAACAAAATATCTTCCTGGGAATTGACAGGCAGAAAGATGCCTCAGAATGCTAAACACCTCTCACTTCTTGCAATAACTCAGATCCTTCCATCTTTGACCATGGTCTTTGTTGTTTCCAGATGGATGCACCTTCATTAACCTGTGGTTCATCCCTCACCGTACCAAAGTGCTGATCATGTTCAAAATGCTTCCAGAGAAGGTCAATAGTTGCTAATGCTAAAAGAGACTCTGCTCTAGGCACTGAGCCACACACATCTTTTCACATGCATTACAGTTTTGCTTGCTATTGGATTTGGGGAAATAAGCATTAATGTCTTTAATCTGGATGCAGCTAGCTTGTGCCACTGATGAAGGGTGTTGACAAAGAGTGCTTGTCAGAAAGGAGAGACCTTTGGTCCACTGGATTTAGGGGTAGAAACAACAGTATAAAAGGAAAGGAAGGATCCTTTAGTTAAATTCCTAAAGATCTTTAGAGATCAAAAGTAATTAAACTGAACCTCAGCCATGCTGTGTTGTCTTTTCTCATTTATGAAAGCATTTCCCATCCCACTAGTTTATGAAGTATTGTCCCTGTCCCCACATACACAGAAGCAGCAGGCTGGGATCTTCATGTCCTCTTACTTATTTCTGATGAAATACAGAGGAGACGGGACAGGGGGGAAGCAAAAATATTTGCTACTTCACTGTGTTTGCTTAGGGATGACTATCTGAATGGTTTTGTTTGTGCACTTGTCTTGTCTGCAGGCTGCTCTCAGAGCTCTCCGCCTAAGCCTAGAAACAGTTGGTGAGCTTCACGATGTGGTTTCATATCTCCTGGCTTTTGCTCAATTAGGAAATTCCCCAGACTGCTTTTGTGTCTTAAACCCAGAGCCTCTGACCGAAGACTGGGGAGGGACTTGCACTGGTAAGTAGCATTGGTAAGTAACAAACACTGTGTGCTTAAGGTAGATGGTTCCAGGAGCAAAAGTGTGAAATGCTGATGGTGAGAGAAAGGGACAAAGGGAGCATGAGATGAAACCAATGTCAATTGAAGAATAAAATAAAGATGAAATTCCAGCCTTCTTTTTTTCTTTTTCCCACTCCATTTCACTGGGGGAAGATTGTTGTGTTTGGGGTGCATGCCCACAGCGTCACAGATCTGTCGCAATCTCAAAGAAAAGCAGCATACCAACCAGGCTCAGGAGGCCTGCTCCAACAGGGAACAGAAAACATGATCCAAAAATTGCTATTCTGCTTCTAGCAAGTATCTGCTAAGCCATCTGGTCAGCCCATGATGAGTTTATCTTTACCAGAAGATTAGAAAAGACAGGCTTGGTTTCCTCTAGTAAATCTGTCACTTGATTCTCTTTCCAAAGAGTGAAACAGCTGAGGCATGTGTTGTCCTGCATGGACATGCAGGAGCAACTCCAAACACAAGTACAGGCTGGGTGGAGAGTGGATAGAGAGCAGCCCTGAGGAGAAGGACTTGGGGGTACTGGTGGACGAAAAGCTGGACATGAGCCGGCAGTGTGCGCTGGCAGCCAACCGTATCCTGGGCTGTATCAGGAGAAGTGTGGCCAGCAGGTCGAGGGAGGGGATTCTGCCCCTCTACTCTGCTCTGGTGAGACCCCACCTGGAGTGCTGCGTCCAGCTGTGGAGCCCCCAACATCAGAAGGGTATAGACGGGTTGGAGCGAGTCCAGAGGAGGCCACGAAGGTGCTCAGAGGGCTGGAGCCCCTCTGCTATGGGGACAGGCTGAGAGAGGTGGGCTTGTTCAGCCTGGAGAAGAGAAGGCTCCGGGGAGCCCTTATTGCACCTTCCAGTACCTGAAGGGGCTACAAGGAAGCTGGGGGGGACTTTTTACAAGGGCCTGTAGTGACAGGACAAGGGGTAATGGGTTTAAATTGAAAGTGGGGAGGTTTAGATTGGATATCAGGAAGAAGTTATGCATACCTCCTCCTCTGTGCTGGGTGTGCTGCATGGCAGAACTGTTTTCATGCCACCTAGGAATGCCCATGATTATGTATCTGTACATTTGGCACTGCTCAGATGCAACTCAGGAGAAAAAAACTTTACCTGCACAGCTTCCCTTCTGTCCTGGTGTCTTTTAAAAGATTAAAAACTGATTATGACAATTTGGTAAAAATATTAAATTTTCAAGCATTGGGAAAAATATATAAAAGACTAGCTTTGTCTTTTAAGACAAAAAGACAAGGTTTGTTCCATTATCCCTTATGTATTTTTCTTTTTATGTAAGATTTTTATTATCAGTTCTCGATTTATCTTCTTGAAATTTCATTTTGGAAGGGAAGAAAGGACTCAGTGAATCATAAATACTTCTTACAGCTTTTATTTTAATACTGTGCCTGTGAATGTTTGATTTTGAAGTGGGTTTATTTTCTCCAACAAAAAGCACTGCCTGTTCTGCGGTGTGCGCTTACTGTACCATCAAGTGGTTATTAGTAACTTCATTTGTATATGGCTGAGAAAGTTCATGTAAATTAGCATGCTTAATGAGCTTTGAAAGAATCAAGAAGTCTGAGCTCAGTGATCAGTGAGAAACCACGTAACCAGATGGAAGAGGAATATTATATGCAGTGTATTTCAATTTCAGACGTATCTAATGTGTTAGATACATTAGATCCACCTCACTGTTCAAAAAGAAAACAGGGACAATGACGGAGTCCTCAGTACGCTGCTGTCTCTGTAATGCATCTGATACAATTTAACTCCAATGCTCCTGACGAAGAGTTCTTCTTTGTTGCTGCTGTCGAGGAATAATTTCCCTCTCCCCCAAATCAGACTATTTAACTTCTTTAAATGATGGCAGCCTGACAGCGAGAACATTGGGTTTCTCTAACAGGTGCTCCCGAGTTAAATCACTTGGGTGGTGGCTGTGTCTTGGAAGGCACTCAAGCACTGTGCACACATCCCTTACAAACACCCAGTAAGAGCAGGGGCTCTTGTAAGGGCAATGACTTATGGAGAAGGACCCATTGCTTTGGGAAGTTTTTTGCTAGGCTTGAAGGGAATAAAAAAAAACCTTTAGGGCCTCAGCAGAAGAATCACAGAATGGTTTGGGTTGGAAGGGACCTTAAAGACCATCTAGTTCCAACCCCCCTGCCATGGGCAGGGACACCTTCCACTAGACCAGGTTGAATAGTCATTAGCTGGCAGAATTGAGCAGCTGGAGAAGTTGTCCCTGTCATTCCCTACCAGGTAAGCACTAGTTTAGGCCTTTGGAGTAAGTAAAATGCCATCTCAGGACCTGATTCTGCTCCTGTCTAACAAACTTAATCTCAATGTTTTCTGTTAGAAGAGACCTACAACAATCTTCTAGTCCAACCAGATACGATAATGAGAAAGATATACTACTATCCTGGGTGATATTTTATAATAATTGACTTTTTAATGGGAAAGGCTAATAAAAGAACCATTCCTTTGAGATGCCTGTAATTTTTCATTCCTACTCCTCTTCCTCCTTGACCTTACTACATCTTCATAATTCTCCACCTGCCACAATCTTAGGGCCTGGTTTTGTAGCATTGAGGGGGTTGTAAACATATTCTGCTTCTCCCTTCCAGGGGAGGGAAACAAAATGTAGAAAATCCTGAAGTAAAAATCTCCTGAAGGGAAAACAAGCTTACAGAACTGACATATTTTTACATGCATTTCCTGACACCTTGCCTGATAAATTTGCTCTTCTTGGGACTCCAGGGACTGAACTTCAAGAGATACAGAAAATGATTGACAGCCTCCAGAATCCACTGGATCCCAGTGAAGTAGCCCAGCTGCTAGCCGCTCACAGAGGAGTGATCTTTCTACAGTTTGATGCAGCAATTGGGATCGACTACGGTAGGAATTACAGCCTGTTAGGGATGGGACTGGGACCTTTTTTTAAACGGGGGCTTTTTTTGTTCGCAAAAAAGAAAAAAAATGTAGGAAAGATTCATTTAAATTTTGTCTATTATATCTGCTTCAAGATATGCAAATGTGCTTCAAATGTGCCCTGAAGTGTAGAAATTTTCCTTTCACTGAAAGTGGCAATGTTCCTCTAATTAAAAGTGGTGAGAGCCCTTACATGCTTCACTGATGGATCTCAACACACCATGTCTGGGTACAGCTGTCCTACAATCTGAGCATTATATCACCTTTATGTTGTGATTCATAGTTTACTGAAACAGGGAGGTCAGTAGCTGCTACAGAGGTAGACTTAGGAGTTCATGTTCTTGTTTTGCTGCAGGATCTACATTTAATTTTATATTTTCCTCTGTCAAAGAATGCAGATACAGGACTCTCCAGCTTATACTGAGATCTAGGTTGGCCCTCCTGTAAGATGTTGTTATTTACCCATCACAGAAACCCAAGTAAGATATACTTTTTAGGACTTTCTAAACAGGAACTGTCTTCCTTTTCTCCCCGCTCTCCTCCCATATGTTGTCTGTCAATAATGGTCATAGAGGGCTTTGAATGTACTCAACAGAATAACCTTGGCAGAACCAAAACAAGGGCAGGACATGCAAAAGTAAAGGAAATTTCAACTGTCCTCCCTTCTGTAGATGCCACGTGGTGAGATGACACAAGAGTAGATTTGTAGGTGTAGCCTGCACGGGGCAGGCAGGCCATGGAGTCCACCTGAAGAGAAACACCTCCTGGACTTGGTTTTGAGTAACACACAGGACCAAGTTCAAAATGCTGCAGTTGAAGAGCTGTTCTCTCAGAACAACCATGATGTGATTGCATAAAACATTTTGAAGGAACAGTGACAGCCAAATAAATATCACCATAGCTGGGCTCAGCTTCAGAATGGGAAAATACATAAAAATGAGAATACTTGCTGAAAAAAAAAAATAGAAGGATTAGCTAGGGGAGTTAAATCCTTGCAGATGGCAAAGATACTCTCTGAGGACATACTGGAGGCACTCAAGAAATACACACCACATGTGAAGAAAGACTTAAGAAAGGGTAAGAGGATGCTAAGAAAGGGTAAGAGGATGCTGGCCTGGCTAAACAGCAGGATTAAACAGATTATTAAAGCAACAAGGGATCCTTCAAAAAGCCGTACTTTTATTTAAACGAAGAAAATAGGAAGGACACTAAACTGTGATTGGATAAATATAAAAGGATTCAAGACAGTCCAGCAAAGTTTTTGAGGAAAACTGTGCTGAAGGCATCAAGACTAACAATAAGTCTTATTACAAATATACCAGGAGCAGGAAACCTGCCAGAGTCCGAAGGGCCAGTGGGTGATCAGGACTGTTCAGTGAAGATGAGTCAATAGCATACATTTTAAAAAGTGATTTATTTGTTTCTGCATGCCTTGTGGAAGAGCTTGAGGAGGTTCCCACACTGAAACCTTTCTTTATGGGAGATGCATCAGAGGAGCTGCTGCAAGTGGAAGTGTTGTCAGGGCAAGTTATGGGACAAGCAGACCAAAGTGAAGATGAACAAGTTGCCAGGACAGACAGTATTCAAGAATTCTGAATAAACTAAGGATTTTTGGTTTTTAAAAGAAGCCAAATTACTGCTTAATGCTGCCTTGATACACTGGAAGTGGCTCATGTGTTGCCAGATTTTAAAAAGCACTGCAAGGGTGATCTGGCTAATCACAGGCTGATAAACCTCATATCCGTAGTGTTCAGATTAGCAGAAACTATAATGAAGGGGGTGCATGGGCAAATATGATGGATTTGGGAAGAGTCAACACTGTTTTTGGAAAGTGCAGTCATGCTTTACAAACATGTTGGGGTGTTCTGAAGCTGTTCACAGACATGGATAAAGGGTTGATGTGGTATGTCTGGATTCCCTGAAAGCTTTAATAGTCTCAACAGAGGGTCTTAAGGAGCCTAAGCAGCCACTGCTTAGAGGAGATAGTCAAATTTGTAAATAATCTGTTGAGATTTAGGAAGGAGAAGGTTGTAAACGGACAACTTCGGCAGTGGATAAGAGGTTACCAGTGGCTTCCCACAGGAGTTTGAGCTTTCTCCTGTGCTATTCAGGTGCTCAGTTGTCACTGAAAAGGGGCTGAAGCTGAGGTGGGACCGGGTATGTGACACTGTGATATCCAGCATACCAAGGGCAAGGGCTGGCTGGAGAAGGACCTTTTACAAAACAGAGTGGCTGCAAAATGAAACAGCAGATGGAGTTCAGTGGGTCAGTAAAATGGGGCACCTGCAGGAAAAAAACCCAATCCCAGTGTATAAAATAACAGCCTCTGACTTGACCATTACCATGCAGTAATGAAATTTCGGCATTATGACAGGTAATTCTGTCAAAGTTTCAGCTCAGTAGCGATTAAAAAAAAAAAAAGGAAAACTGATTCCCTTTAGGAGACCAAAAATAAGAACACCAGTACACCGCTGAATAAATCTGTGTTGATGAGCCTATGCAGTTCTGGTCCCTAGGTGAGGAAGGACAGAGAACTCAGAAAGGTTCCCAAAGGACCCACACAGATGATGAAAGGTTTCTGGGTGGAACAAGTAGTAGAGCTCAGGGATGGCTCTATAAAACCATCAGTCAAAGGCAGGTGATAAACAAGGAGTGCCTGCTCATGGTCTTTTCCAGTGTAAGGTACATCCCAGGTCAGCAGCAGGTAGCTGGCTCTGACCTAAAAAAAAAAAAGGTGGTTCTTGCACATGGCATGTAATTAGGCTGTGGGATTTCTTGCTGTCGGATGCGGTGGGTGGTGAAAGTTCATAGGACTCGGGGGGACACTGCACAGCCTCATGGAAGACAAATCTACCAAAGGTTATTAAATATCTAGCAATCACCTCTGGCTGATGAAATGTCTGAGCTACAAATTCTTGAAGACTATAAGAATATCAGTGGGAAATATCAGCATATGCTTGTTCTGGAGATTTTTGTAATCTTCTCATGAATCCACTTTTGAACACTGCAGGAGACAAGACTCTGAGCTGGATAGACCTTTGCTCTGAGCCACTCCAATGCTATCCAGTGGAGCTGTGACTGTACATATTTGTAAACTATAGATGTTCCTGAAGGCTTGTAAGAAGATAAAACTACCTTGTTCTTTTATTTCTATTTTTTCCTGATTAAAATACTGCAAAGGCAATTGGTGAGAGAAATGTTTTCCATGGATAAGGAAATGTGTGTTAACAAGGAAGTAAGAAGAAATGTAGTCTATCAGATGCTTCGTCTTTCTTGTTCCTTATTGCCCGTGCAATTAGTTTCCATTTTCTCCACACCAGGGCTTACAATGTGACACTAAATCACATTTAATCTCTTTTGAACTTCTCTGCCAAGTTTGATCCTGGAAGCTGTAATTTGTTCCTGTAATTCCTTTGTTCGTCCTGCAATTGCTACAAACTCCCTTGTCATTTTTAAAAGCACTTGTGTGTTTGACAAAAATGAAAGAATAAGATCATTGTCTTAGAGTTGCCATTCAAAGGAGAGTGTGCAGCTACAGAAAGAGTTGCAGTCTGCTTCTTATATTGCAAGAACTGGTTGGCCAGGGGCTCTTTCTTTTATAAACATGTGAATGAAGTACAGGAGAATTGAGGGTGACAAAGAGGCTGCAATGAAATGTCAAAGTCATGTCTAAGCTTCTTGAGTAATATATTTACATGATGAGTAGTAAAAAGTAGCTTTATGTGTGTGGGGTGGCACAGCACAATGCAATCCCAGCATGAGGAGCCAGCTGGGTCCCAGAAGCACGGTACACCTGTGTTGGGATAGCAGCCTGCTGGTGTATTGAGCTTGCGTGGCAAGGTATTGGTAGTGGGGGGGGCAGCAGGGCTGGCTTGTGTGAGAAGCTGCCAGAAGCTTCATGTCTGACAGAGCCAATGCCAGCCGGCTCCAAGATGGACCTGCTGATGGACAGGGCCGGGTTCATCAGTGGCTATCAGACGGTAGTGCCTCTGGGATAACATGGTTAAGAAGATGGGGGAAAAAAATGAGAAGGGAAAATAGCAGTCAGAGAGAGAGAGAGAGTGAAATGTGAGAGGAACATCTCTGCAGACTCCAAGTTCAGTGGAGAAGGAGGGGGAAGAGGTGCTCCAGGC